CTGCTCGGTGGCGGGAGCCGCGGTGCTAGCCAGCGGGGCCGCCTGGTGGGGCGGGGCCTGGGCGTGAAACCGGAGCCCAGACAGCCACGTTCCAGGCCAAGTTTCAGCCCCCAGCGCCGTGCGCGGGGTCTCGGTCGCCCCCTCTCCGCTACCCTCCCCGCTGGCCGGCCGGCCGGACCCTCGGCGCGCTCCGGGCGCCCTGTCGGTCGGCTCTCCACGGGAGCCCTCCTACCCAAAGTTACCACGAGTGTTTTTGTTGGTGTGAGAGTGGGAACAAGTTTTCTCCGCGCGCGCGCGCGCGCGTGTGTGTGTTAGGAGAGGAGAGATGGTATGCTGCGAAGGCAGCCAGCGCAAAAACCGGGCTCCCCTTTCTAGGCGTTATATGGGAACGGTGAAAAAGAATCTGTTTTCTCCAGTGAGGGTGTTGCCTGGAAGCCCTTCCGCTAGGTGGAATTGGACCTGTCGGAGCGGGTGTCTCCGCCGTGCCTGGCATGCAGCAGGTCCTTGTGAATGTTTGGAAAACTGAACGTCGCTGGACTCTTCAGAAAGGACTTAGGGCAGAGAAGTTCGTGTGCTTTTAGGGGGCTCATTCAGGGGAGCGTTTATTGCCAGCATATGTCTAAAGTGAGCAGGGGCAGGGGTCGGGGTGGCGTGTGTATCGCCGCCGTCATGTGGGGTGGGGAAGTTCTCAGGGCCGGAGAGGTTCGGATTTCTTAAGAGACTTGTGTGATTCTGCCGGCTTCCTGCCCTCACCCAGGCCGCTCCTGGGGACGGAGTTATAAGGGGACAGTAAGCCAATAAGCCACCCTAATGATGGACCTTTGGAGGGAGGGCCAGTCTTGGTCAATGCGGGCCCCCAGGCCAGTGCTCAGTCTAAAAAGGACAGTTCTATAGCAAGAGGAATGATCCGGAATGTGAGGTAGTGAGCTCCCTAGATGTTGCAGCGGGAGGCTAGGAATTGTAGCAGTGGTTGGTTGACTCGTGTTTCCAAGGGCTGTCCTCCAATAGAATCTGATTCTATTTCATATCTCCTCAGTCCTTTGTGGTTTGTGGGAGTGAGGTGATGGGGTGTGACTTCAGTCCCTTAATTTGTTGGATTGGAGTCGTGACTGTGTGGCCTTAGGCAAATGGTCTTTGGGGCTTCAGTTTTCTCCCCTGTAAAATGGGACAATACTTTCCAGTTTATGACACTGTACATATTAACATCCAGAAAACCTCTGGCACACTGTGGTCTCTTCGCAGATAATGGTTCCCTTCCACTTCCTTCATCCCTCTCCAGCATACTGCATTGGTTGGGTGGGGGTTGAAAATCAACAGCCCAAAAAGAACCAGCAACCTTGCATCCAAAGTCTATTTAAAAACCAGCTTCAAGTGCTTGAAACAAAAATATCTTCTCTTTTCTTAGAAAAGTCATTTCCAGTTTTGTTAGAATTTGTGCTTCATTGAGTCCCTTTTTCTGACAGAATTGTGTCCTTGCGCAGATTGGCATGTTACATAACCTGATGTTTCCAAATCAAGTTACAAATAAGGGGGAAAAAGGTGATTAGGAATTAAAAATTGTTGAGCAACACAGGCAAGGGACTCAATTTAAGATGCCAACTCACACTCTAGCTGTGAGAGAGGCTGAGGGAAGATGAAGCTGGATAAACACGCAGTGGTGCAAGTCCTCAGCCCCCATCCTGTTCCAACAAACAGCTACCCTGACCCCAGCCCAAGCCTTCTGTTGTTCCTGTCCCAATACCTTCTCCCACATCTGTACATCTAAAAAGTGAAACAAAAGAACAATGGGATTTAAATCATTTCCTTGCAGATTTGATTCCAAGAGCCTCGCAGGGTAAATCAATGTCAATTCTAGATCTAAGGGGCCAATTTTTACCTGCCTTCTTACATGGTCTACCAGCCCGGCTTATTGTAACTAAAAGCTGAATCATTCCATCTTTCCTTTGCACTGACGGGCAACTGTGGGGGCCACTTTGAAAGTAACATGCCCCAGTTTCCAGTGAGGCAAGCAGACAAGGGGTCCTGAATATACTGTTCTCCATAGAGAAAACGTATGATGAAACAGCGTGAATGTATATGCTTAGTTCTCTGTGGGCTTGGCATTTATTACCTGGGCACAATTTTTTTCTAACTTTTATTGTCTTTAGCCTAATGGTCAAAGTAATACGTGTTCACTGTCTCAAATTCAGACAGTATAGAGAAAAGCAAAAACAAAATATTTTTATCACATTGGGGGTTGTACCTTATGACTTTTCTTTATGAAAGTAGAAAAATGAATGAGATCATAGTTATAATATTTTGAATACTTATTTTTATTTAATGATAAAACATGCAGATCTTTTCATGTTATAACTTTTTCCCTATGGTAACATTTTTAATGCTACATAGAACCCCAGTGTTCTACTACGTTATACTTTATTTAATCGGTGCCAGTTTTTTTTTTACTTTTTGTTTTAGTTTTTATTATAGCAAAACTGCAGAACCGTCCTTATACATACTGAACAATTTTAGTATTTCGTTAAGCTAAATTCCTAGAAAGTAGGAGTGCAGGGTCAAAAACAGATACCATACGAAGGCTTCTGTCACCCATGAAAAGCAGTCAGACATACTGTGATGTCTGTTTCATTTTTTAAAACCAGAATAGGGCTGTTTACTTTTCAGTTCTTGATAGTCTTGGGAGCCCAGGTGGTGGAAGACAGGGGTGACAATCAAGCCTGGAGCAGGGAATTTGCATAACTTTGAGCTGTTCTCCTGAACTGATACTCACATCCTTTTTCCAAGAACATTTTTCTTCTCTGGCTCTTGGAATCATCACTTTCTGTAGTGCTTTAGCCAGCAGTGAAGTTGAAATATGTAAATATGTTCCTCAGCATTGTAGGTGGGGCTGGCTCCATGGTGAATGACAAACAGCTCCTCAAGAAGTGTGTGTGTGTCTTCAGCCTTTGCTGAGGCTGTGGATTTACCCCTCCGACCCTTTTTCCTTTCCTTTGGGCCTGAAACTGGCCTAGGAGATCTTACAGCCAAACAGTTGAGAGTCTACCCTGTGGCAAACTTATCCCCCTTTGCTGTAAAATCAACTGAACTGCATCTCTCTTCACAGCCCCAGGACACACTAAATACATAAATCAACATGCCTACTTGCAGGTTTTAAAGTGGAAGTTGTTAGGCCATCTTGTCCCTGCCTCACATGGTACAATTCCATCAGACAGTACATTCGCCAGTCCCGTTCCTTCGTGCGTAGGATTTCTGTGACCCAGAAAAGATTTGTTCCCTGTGGTTAGATGACTAGTCATCTGACAAAGAATTCAGTGGAGCCAGTGGGGGAAGTCCAGGCCCCCCATTTCCCAGGTATCCCTATGCTCAGCAGGAAACATCAGGAGTTCCTTTAGATTGGGTAGAGAGGTCACCTGAGGGTTGTTTAACGGTGTGGTCACCATAGAGGGATCCCGCTCTGCTGGCTGCCAACTCTGACTTCAGACAAGTGTTTAGATGCTGCTTTGATACTAACACCACTCCAGTTTCACTAGGATGGTGAGGGGATGTTTCTGTTCTTTGTCGTGTTCTGAACATCAAATCACGGCTTTTATTTCATTTGAAAAACAG